TTCAGAGGAAGTGTTAATGGTTATATCATGTAGCTTCTAACCTGTATGTGTCAGTTCAAAAATGTGGTGGAATAACGGATTTTCTTACAGGAAAATTGGACAAATTCTTTTGCTAATAACTATATGTAGTAATTACAGAATCAGGAATATTCCGAGGAGCTCCCAATCCTGAATTTCACTGTTTTTCAAATGTTTATTACATCAAATGGCTATGCTAGATCCTTAGGGAAAAATAGCATTTTGATAAACCTAAACAGCTCTCCCTGAACGGAGCCCATCATCCAAATGGGAAACTGAATTATGAGGAAAATAAATGAGTGTCCCCCTGGTGGTGGGAGGGAGTGCTGAACGTGGACCAGCCCAACCTGTGCATTCCAAATGAGACCCTCCTTTTGTGGGAGGGGGTGCATTCAAACCTGCCTCGGTAGCACATGTCATGGAGAAGCGACTGCAAACATTAATCACTAAGACACCTACATGCCAATTACATATCAGAGTTTCAAAATACTTTAAATTCACATCCCACTGTCCTTGGCTTTTGCTGCACATACAATTCTGTCTTCCATTAGTGTGTGTAGTATTCCTCTGATTGACCACTGGGCAACTGCCAGCTCTTTTCTTTCTTTCTTTTTTTTTTTTTTTGTTTTAAGTCAGTCTCACTCTGTCGCCCTCGGTAGAGTGCCATGCAGTCACAGCTCACGGCAACCTCAAACTCTTGCCTCAACATCTCAAGTAGCTGAGACTACAGGCACCCACCAGAACACCTGGCTATTTTCTTGTTGCAGTTGTCATTGTAGTTTAGCAGGCCCAGGCTGGGCTTGAACCCACCAGCCTCGGTGCATGTGGCTGGCACAGTAACCACTGTGCTATGGGTGTTGAGCCCAACTTGAACAAGAAAAGAAGGGAAATGCTGGTAGAGATATGAGTGAAGAATAAAAACTGTTTTTATTTATCACTATTACTGTTCAACATGGTTTGAACAAGGGCTTAAATAAAACTGTTTTTACTCTTCACTCATATCTCTACCAGCATTTCCCTTCTTGTTCTTGTTGATTGCAACAACAATCTTGTTGATTCCTGATATTTTCTGTTGGCTAACTGGCATTTTTGGCAAATATCATTTCCCAGCATGTTCCCTTTCAACTTTGTTTATGGTCCCTCATTAAACAGAACCTTTTAGTTTGATGGAGTAAAGTTCATAATTTTTTTGCTTTATGATTTGTGAGGGAGGAATGGGTCTTGTTTTAAAAGTGCTTTCCCATTTAGAGAGTGTCACAAAGATCTTGGTCGGCTGATACTTAAGAATTAACAAAAAGCAATGAAAACCTCTTCGGGAGATCATTTTTAAGCTATATTGTAAGTCGTCAATGAGGGATTGAAAAAATGGAGAGCTGTACAAGTTTGATTTCAATGACTGAACACTGTAATGATGTTATTTCTTCCAAATCATTCTATAATTTGAAAGATTCCAGCAAGAATTTTTTTTTGAAGAAATGACAACTTTATTTTAAAATTCCTATGGAAGAATTGAGTTAGTATTAGAATGGCATCTTATTTTTGCTTATACTCCCCCGTTGATTATCACTGTGAAAGGAATATTGGTTTCTGACAATCTTATCTTTTGTGACCTTGCTTAACTCTCTTACTCCTTCTCATAATTTCTGTATTGGGTTCTATGTAGATGATTAGGTTGTGTGCAGATAGTAATACTTGTGTCTTTCCCTTTCCTACACCTGTAACATTTAGTTCTTTAATCGGACCATCTCCAAGACCATCTTGAACAGGAATAGTGATAAAAAGCAATCCTCCTCTTTTTTCTAGGTTCTAAAAGAAAATACACCTAAAGCTTTTCTGTTATTTTTGATGTGTGCTCTATGTTTTTGATGTATAACTTTTATGAAAAAAAAGTACTTCCTAGCCGGGCGGTGTTGCAGCCGCCTGTAGTCCCAGCTACTCAGGAGGCTGAGGCAAGAGAATCACCTAAGCCCAAGAGCTGGAGGTTGCTGTGAGCTGTGACAGTACAGCACTCTACTGAGGGTGTGACAAAGTGAGACTCTGTCTCTAAACAATGTACTTCCCGCCTAATCATAGTTTTCTCAGAGTTTCTCATATTAATAGCTATTGATCTGTAACATTTTCCATATAGCAGATGAAACATACACGTGGGTTTTCCTTCAGTCCCCACTGTGGTGATCAGGGTGAAGGGAGGCAAGGCACACAGACCAAAAAGTGCACGTTTCCTTCCCTATCACATCCCAGGTGCCTCACACTTCTTACCCCAGCACCCAATCTCGGTCCCAAACCTGGTGGTAACAACGTATATCGATATTCTACTGGTGAACTTTCTTTCCCTTCCTTGAATAAGGCTTCAGTGATCATGATGCATGTTTAGCATCCTGTTAGTTCCAGTTAGTTATTATCTTATATAAAATGTTTGCACCTATTCTCGTAAGTGACGCGTGCTCATAATTTTATTTCATTTATAGTCCTCACCTAGTTTTGCAACTGTAGCCTCTTAAAAGGAGAATAGTTTGCTTTGTATTCTTATATTTATGGAGGAATGTCTACGTTACAGGTAATAATCCGCTCCTCTGAATATGTTCATGTCTGAAACCTACTATGGGGTATAAATTTGAGCAATTCATTTTTATATCTCTGGACCTCAATTTTCCCCTTCTGAAAAATGGAGATAGTGAAATCTGTCTTATAGCTTTATGGGGAACACAAAAGATACTTTAAAAAAAGGTATATAGCCCTGTATTGGACCCAGCGAGGAGGTTTAACTGATAGATTGACCTGCAGGTGGGCTTCATGCACGTGTGGACCACGTTTTTGTCCTCCCCACCCTCTCGCTTTTCTTGGTCCACACTGTGCTGTTGATCATTCTCTAAAATTCACTTTTACTTCATCAGTTTTATAAGTGCCTGTTAACTTCCTTCCATTTCAAGTACAATCCCATTCTAGTAACTTCTGGTTAATTATTTTATGTTGAATGTAGTAAAATAACGTTCTTTTATATTTCAGAGTGATGTGGGAGTAAAATGCTATTTTTAAAATTCACTAATGTACTTTCCATCTAATGTATTTCCTTTTATCTCATGACCCTTCTCCTCTTCAGGTAGATATTTAGAAAACTGTATGGTAAACTTTCCCTTACTCCAAGGAAAGACAAGTAAAAATAAAAGTATATATAAATGTATATACCTATATACTATATATTATGTATATAATTTTTTCTTTAAAAATTTATATTTTCAAGAGAAAAAAATAGTTGTATACATAAAATATACAATAGAACTGGAAGAAGATGGATTTTATGAGACTAACCGTAAAAAATTCACCTTTTCACCTTGATGAGTTGAAAGGATTGCGTGTGAAGAAGCAGCAGTGTGGACTAGTGACACATGGGTTAGGCAGGAGCCTGCCTCTCATCTGGCACCAGTTTGGGGTATAAAGATGTGACAGAAAGCTCAGATAATTATAGATATTCCAATGCAGAGGTAACTTGTGTTTTCTTTCCCAGGTAGATCCAGGCAAATGGCTAGATAGCAGAGCAGAAATGCTGGGAGGGAAGTTCGGTGATGGGGTATGGACAGCCTCACAGTTGCGCACTGCACAGTAGGACACAGAGCAGTAGTCATGTGTCTCAGATCTATGCCTTTAAGAAGAGATGATGAAGGGCTGTCGGTGACCAGACCAAGTTTCCCAGCCATGTGGTGGCCCAGATTGGAAAATGATTCCAGAATCCAACAGGGGTCTGAAAGTTAGGTAGGAGAGAACTGGTCTATTAGGTTGGAGCCTGGCTATTGGGTTGAAGACTGGTTATTAGGGCTAACTCAGAAGGGAATTTCATAGATCAGCACTCAAAGATAGGTGGGAATGAGGCCATCTCAGTGGTGCCAGCAGATAGCTGATGACCCCGCCTGTGTGTTTCCTTTAAGACCTTAACATTATTATGGAAGCCAACCAGAACTTAGATATCACTCCAAGAAAAAGGAAAGGAGGAGAAATTGAGCTTAAATTTCTACCAACTGCCCAGATGAAGGATATATTCTGGGATTATGTTTTATATGGGAAAGTTCTGTTTCTTACACGCTTGTGTTTGTGAAATGAGTTTTCTACCCACTACACATTCATGTCACCAAATTTAAAAAGTGCTCGTCAGAGACACTGCAGTGTGTTCTATTGGGAACATACCATACTGTGACCGCAGGCCAGCTATTTAAACTCTCCATCTCAGTCCCTATATCTGTAGATGGAAGCATGGACTTTATTGTCACTTTTTTAATGATTAAATGAAAAAATGTGCTCCACAGTGCCTAGTATCTGATTGGCATTCAATGTTTGTCATTTTGCTTCCTAACTCCAACTCCAGAGATAAAGTGTGGGGAAAAAACAAAGAGCTTGGGGAAGGTGTTTGTCAGAAGATCATTACGACCATTACTGCTAATTACAAGACTATGTGCGCATGGCCCAGGCAGGGACTGCAAACCACACCGTTTTCAGCTTGACACACACTACAATTAGTACGGCCAGGCCTGGGGATGAGCCACAACTCCAAACTCCTGTCAGCCTTTGTTGTCCTCATTTGCAGACTCTCAGGCATCAGCTGTGTGAGACCATGCCGTTACTATCTCCTCCAAAGGAAGCTCACAGTTTTTTTATTCTTCTGAAGGAAAGAAGGAAACCTTGCAGATGTGTCCTAGTTAATAGTCATTTCCTAAATATGCTACCACAAATCAAGCCACATGAAAACGAGAGCTGGTTTTGTGTGTTTGCTCTTTTTTGTCCTTCTGAGATTCTGAGCAGAAAAACTACGGAAAGTTGGCTGACTTTGTTTTCTTCAACTTATGATTTGATAATATGCCTGTAATTAAATACCATGTAATTTCATGCTCAAATTTTAGCATTAGAGAATTTTTTTTCCTCTAGGTTTTGTATGTTATTTCAGTGTCAACAGTTCTCTCTAGAAATGTGGTAAGAAAACGGTTCACACTTACCTGCTAACACTTTATGGGAATTTGTGAGTGACCGCAAGGGAGATTGTTCTGGAACTGTTTAGCAGTGTGGGAGAGCTTTGCTTGTTCTTATCTATAAAAAGAAGAGTGAAGCTAAGTCATCTCTTATTACACAGAACACATTTCAGACATTTTCTGGAATAGACTCAATTTCAAACATCCTATCCCTTTGGTCTCAGAAGTGCATTCCTTCTTTTCAGACCAAATGTTCAAAAAAGAATCTCAATTTGCTTTAAAGATTATTGCTGGCTAAAGAGTCTATGGTTCTGTTACAGGCAAGAAAATGAAGAGTCTGGGACGAAGACATAGAGTAGAAGTGTTGGGGGTAAAAAGAAGATGAGAAGGTGAACTCTTTCCTAGGGAAGAAATCCCCGCTGTGAGGGGAGTTGGGGAAACACCAAAAGCAACTTCCATTTCCTCACAATTTCCTTAGATGTCCCCATGACCAAATATGTGCTTATCGATTTCAAGATCAGGGCAACAGGATTCTTTCTGTTTAATTATGTCCTTGCAAGTTAACAATTAAGTGCTTTGGTAAATGCTATAAGCACAAAGGAGGGTATTTAGCGCTCTCAGGATCAATGGTAAGTTCAAGGCTGTGTGTGTCAGGGAATGACCACTATTCACGCTAACAAAGTCTCCAAACAAATACTGTCCATCAGGTGCTGGGCTGGTCACTGAAATAACAGAGATGAGTAAAGGCCAGTCTCTGTTCTTAAGGAACTCAGAACCTAAGAAAATAAACAAACATAGAAGTAAGGAAAATAGACATATAAACAAGACTCACATACAGCTCAGAGATGCAACGCCTAGAGGGAAATGTGAAAGAAAGGTTCCTGCAATAAGGGAATATTATTTATTTTTATTTTTTTATTTCAGATTAATTTATGGGTACAAACATTTAAGTGACATCATTTGCATTAGTTAGGTAAAAGTGCAAGCTATCGTTGAGCCCTTCCAAGTGCCCATCAATGAGGGCATATTTAAAGTGAATGCTAAAAATGAATACAAGTCCTATCTGGAGAAGTAAAAACAGCATTTTGGCAGAAATAACAGTAAGGGTGAATACATTTAGAATATAGCACAGAAGCTGGGTTTAGAATATTCTAAACAGGCTTGATAGTTTTAGATCATATAGTGAATGGGAGAGAATGGGAAGAGATAGCAAGTGGTAAGTACGTTAGATCATGAATAGATAAGGACATCTCTTAAAGCATTTGACCTATACCCAAAATGTCCAGGAAAGGAAAGAGCTTTGAAGCAGAAGAAGACAGAACTGCATTTGGCAGCAGGCTTGAGAGAGAATCAGAAGGCAGAAATGAGTGAATTATACATGCAGGAAGATATTCTGGGGTATCTAGAGTTAGTACACATGAGAAATAAAGAGGGTCTCATTTAAGACAGTAGTAAAATAAAGAAGCACAGCATCCTAACTTAAGAGATAGTCAAGAAACATTAGATGGAGTCTGGTGATGACTAATGTGAGTGGTGAGAGAGACTTCACGTTCTCTGGCCCGTGTAACTGAGTAGATTTTGAGAAAGAAAATTAAAATGGGGATATGTTGAATCGGAGGGGCCGGTAGACATCCACATAGCAGGAGACAATTGGAAGAATTGTTGTCAAGAGCTTAGGAGAGACAAGCGGTGCCAAAATAGGGAGAGTACCGAATTCCATCACTTATTTATTTGATGCCTGCTTCATAGTAGCCACCAAGCTACACTTAGTGAGCCAGATGGAAAATACTTCTGGCCGTAGGATTCTTCAGGTTTAGGGGATTGGCAGAGAAGGTGCAAGTAGTAGAGGACGTTGGGTACTGTTAGAGGAGCACAGGGGACGGTGAGGGTATAGAGGAGGGTGCTAGGGAAAACCTGGGCATGAGGTGGGACAGAGAAAGGGCAGCAGGCTAAGCAATGTAGGAAAAAAAGGAAAGTAAGCTGAGAACTGAAGACTTAGTAGAAACGGACCAGAAACTAATAAAAAGGGGGAAAAAAAAAAAACAAACTTTTCAGGCAATGGAGAGAAGCAAGCGTGAGTGTGGCACTCTTTGATGAGTTGCAAAATCATGGTGTTAAGTATAAGAAAAGAGCAGCAGGTGAGGCTCAAGCAAGATGGTGGCGTGAGCTATGGCAGAGTTTAAAATGTATCCGGTGTGCAAGCAAAAGCCCCTCAAGGATATCTTAACAGGGCAGTGATACAATTAGATTTGTATTTTAAAACTTCACTCCAGCTACTGTGTCGAGAATGAGATGTTAATTTAAATAGTGAGCCCGGACATGATTACCTTGGGCAAAGACGACAATTCGATTCAGCCTGCTAATATGTTCCCGCCTGCAGAGTGCTATGTTATTTATTCATTTAATTCTGTGTTAGTTACGAACATTTAACAATTGGGAGCTCTCACAGAAAGTCAGACTTCTTTTGAAAATTAGAAGATCTGGCAATGCTGGATTCCTGAGCTGTCAACAATTGGCTGGCTCTAGATTGTCCAACACACGACCCTTCCAGACAAGGTGAGTGCCCATCTACTCTACCACCATCTGATAGAGCCTTTTAGATTTTATTGCTTCCACCTCACCAGAGAGAACACGTAGATGGAGAATGAGTGTCCGAGTGCTGCCTGACTATAACCAGACTCTTCTGCCAGATCCCATTCTTAATTCCTATTCATGGACTTTGTTCTATTCCTTTTTCCTTTTCTCATCAGATTTTCCTCCTGTCTTGGATTATTCCTATTGATATCAAAACTTGCTTTTTTTTTTCATTTTTATTGGCCCATTGCCCTACCAGCTATTCTCATATCTTTGTTGTCCTTTGGTCTCAAATCATATTCTGTAGCCAACCACTCTAGCGATAACTTCTTGTGTCAAAGTCACCAGCAACTTTCTTGCTCCAAGTACAATATGGAATCCTCAATCCTCACCTTACTCAACCTATCTGCTGTAAACAAGTCAGCTAGCCATTGCCTCTTATCTGAAACCATATTTCACCCCCTCTTAACTTCAAGGATACTATATTTCCCAAGGATCTGCTGACCCTGCTGATTCTCCTTCTCAGTCTCTTTTACTAGTTTTTCTCACTGAAGGTGGTAAAATATCACATCTCAGTCTCCAGATCTCTTCTGTCTAGAGTCACTCCCTGTTACCCAGCCATGTCATCCAGCCTTGTGTCTTCAAACCATCTACATGTTAAAAGTTTCCGAGTTCTGAGCTTTAGCCCCTACCTCTCCACTGAGTTCCATACTCGTGAATCCTTATGCCTATTTGATTTTGATACATAACTAAAAATCATCTCAAACTCAACATGCCAGATATAAATTCTGATTCTCTTCCCTCCTCCACTCAGGATGTCCCTCCCATAGTGTCCCTATTTTTTTTTTTTTTAGTCTCACTTTCTCACCTTGGTAGAGTGCTGTGGCGTCATAGCTCACAGCAACCTCAAACTCTTGGGCTCAAGTAATTCTCTTATGTCAGCCTCCTGAGCAGCTGGGACTACAGGTGCCTGCCACAATATCTGGCTATTTTTAGAGACAGAGGGCTTGCTCTTGCTGAGGCTAGTCTTGAACCTGTGAGCCCAGGAAATCCACCTGCCTGAGCTTCCCAGAGTGCTGGTTACAGTAGTGAGCCACCGCGCTCAGGATAGTGCTACTATCTTAATAAATGACATCACATTCTGCCAACCATCCATGACAAAGACTTCTGCAATACCCTCATCTCTTCTCTTTCCCTTACATCACACATCAAATTCAATTGGTGTGGCAAATTCTATTGGCCGTACATTTAAAAATTTATCCAGAATTCAATTCCTTCTTAATCTTCCACTGCCTGAGCTCTGGTCCAATTCACTTTGCTCTCCTGTCTGGAGTATTACAAGAGCAGTTGTTCCTGCTTTCAAGCTTCCTCCATCCCCCACCCCCAGGATCTACACCAATAAAGGAATCAGCACTTGAAAAGCAAGAGGGTTTCTCTAATATTATATCACGATGATTTCCAGCTTATTCGCTTTTGGCAACAATGTTACAGGAGTAAAGTGTGTCCTTGGAGCCCCATGATATTGATATGTTTTATTTCTGGAGATTTTAATCGTTGAAGGTAGTACCTGTCTACTGACCATCTCCACTGTAAAGATATAAATAAGTGTAGATTATTTGAGCATGTATAAATGCTCTATTTCTCCTCAAACTTAAACCCACTAATTTTATCAATCTTTGGTCAATTTTGGCTGCAACAATTATAAATAAGATCTTTGCCTAATGTGATTTAATTTTAGCTAATTTCTGCTACATTTACTAGTTGGAATTCTGTAGGAAACAACTGGTCACATCTCCTTCATTATTCATGCATTCATTTGTTATTAATTCAATGATTTATTCATTCATTCATTCATTCAAGGGTCATTCTATAAACAACTGACCAGAAAATAATGTGGAGTTTTCTCAGATTAAAAAGGACTAGATGAAATGTGGGAGTCTTTAGACTCTGAAAAGGAAAGTGGATATTAGTGAAAAAACTGGCAAAATTCAAGTAAGGTCAGTAATTTAGTTAACAGCAGAGCATAGGTACTAATTTTCTGGTTTTGATCATTGCACTATGGCTGTGTAAAATATTGACATTAGAGAAAGGTATGTAATGTATATACAGAAACTCTCTGCACCATTTTACAACATTTTTGTGAATCTAGAATTATCTCAAAACAAGGTGCTAATGTTTCTTAGAGCAAAACAGACTGTACCCAAACCCAGTTTCCCTTAACATTGCTAGGAATCAGCAACTGGCTTATCAGTACAGTCCTGTAAACACCTGCAACAGAGGCTCAGCTTGCTTGACACCTACAGAATCTGCTTATCCTCCCTGCTGACTATTCTCACTCTTTCCCAGTAAGAGATGGAAAGGGGAGGAAAGAGGATAGGTGTGCTCCCACAAAATGGGTACCATGTAAGAGTGTATGGCACATCTTCTGGGTGTAGGATACAACTACAACAGGGACTCTTCGAAGAAGTGCAAACATTGTGATCTAATTGTTTGTACCCTCACATTAATCTGAAATAAAAAAAAAAACCAGAAAGAAAGAGAGAA